AGACACCAACCCCCTACATAGATTTTTCTCCTGGAGGAAACCGACCCATGTGGTCTGTGTGTCGCTGGTGCGGCCCCACTGTCATCACCACCACAGAGGTGAGCACATGATAGGCCTCATCAGTTACACACCACTGACAGTGATTGGTTCAGCAATGGACATAAGACGCCGGCTGAGCCTATCAGAATGTTGCCAGGAGTTTTCTATCAGACCTATCTGAGAAGATACTCTCTTTCCATGGAGATTATAAAGCTAATAGAGTGTCTATTGGACTATGTGGCAGAGGGTGTTAATTGCTCCAATATCTGTTCTCTCCTTTTGTCACAACAACAAAGTTTTATCTAGGCAAATAGTCTTATATTAATAGAATACACAGAATAAAAGCCTACATTTCCCAGCATTCCTTGCAGCCACGTGTGGCTATGCCAAGTGAAAACGTCATGTGAGAGCTTTCAGAGATCTTTTTTTAAAGAGACAGTTACCCTTCAACATTACTTTCCCCAGTGCTTCCTGCTGCTTGGAACATGGATGTCATGGCTGGAGTTCCATTTGGGGCTGTAAGCGATGTCCCCCATCCAAGGAAGGCAGGGTAGAAAACTGTAAGGATAGGTAGTTGAAGACTTCATGGGATATAATTGTCTTATCAGTCCTGAATTGTTAACAACCAGACTCTATGTGAGAGAGAAGTAAACTATCTTGTTTAAGCCATTCACATTTTTTAACATTACTCACAGCAGTAATTAACTGCCAATTAATCTCGGTTAATTCAGGTCGCCTTCATCAGCATGTGCACCACGTGGGGAGAGACTGCCTGAACATGAAGACAACACAGAGAGCAGAACAAAGAGGAAAAGAATTCTGTTGATATAATTTGAGTCACTCAATCTAGTCATACCTGAAACCATACTACCTTGTGCATTTTTCAGTTAAATAAGCCAACATATTTACGTTTTTGCTTAAGATATTTTAAGTTGAATTTCTGTCATTTGCAACAATAACAGCAAGTGTCCGGAAGAATCTAGCAATCACGAGGAAGGTTGCTCTCAAAAATGTGTGTGGCACCATTTTCACCAATCATGGGCTATGGAATTGGGAGTCAGGATCAATTTTTCTTGATATTTCCAGATTCTTAAGAGACAGGGAGGTCTAAACTGATGTCTGGATTACATTAGTACCCACATTGGTCCTTGATCATGGGCATGTTGTTTTTATTATTTTAAAATGCTACACGGGACTCCAGTGGCTCATAAGATTTAAGAAGAAATTTCCCTGGAAATTGGTAATTTAGGAAGGTTCACTTGGCTTCTAAGTACAAGAGGGTCTGAAGGGATCTGGAAGGATGGAACTGGATGCCAGAGGCCAGTTTAGGAATTGAGAAGACGAGGGCTTAGTGGCAGTGTGAATACATAGGAAGGGACGAATGTTAAGAAAAATAATATGATCTCTAGCTTTAACACATGCTCTGTGCTACTGGTATATTGGTAAAGTGTTTCTCTGTTCATGAAGTATTTTTGCATGTATTATCTCATTTGATACTTGGTAATTCTTTGGAAAGGGCAAAGTGGGTAACTAATTTCACTATTTTACAGAAGTGGAAACTGAGCCTTAGTGCAGTTAAAGGTCTTGCCCACAGTCACATAGGTGTCGGATTAGGGGCCGAAATCCAGATTTTCTGATTAGTAGTCCAGTCTGGATACACCAGCTCTCTGTACACAGAGTCCCATCTATAAACAAAATTTTCTTTTCAAGCAACTTCATTCAGTTGTGTTTATGAATTCTACTTCATAGTTAGTCATTTCATTATTCTCTTCTTACTCATGACTTCTCCTGAGCAGTGATTTAGCCTAAAAGACCAAACTTTATCCTAAAATGAATCATCTTTATTGTGCAATATTGGAATTTAAGAGTGGAGGTGGAGAGCTGAGGGGGCGGAGGGAGGAACTACCAAACAGCAACAAAAACCACAACCTTGAGTCCCATAGAATGGATTTATGTTAATTTTATAAATCTTTTCCTCCGCTTAGTGTCTCCGATATGAGATCACCTCTCATTCATTACAGTAGCAGTAGGCTTGATGATTTTAATAATTGACGGTTTCAAGAAGCCATGGGAAGAGAAAGGAAATTGCTTTTAGACAGTGTCTTATTCAAGCAAACGGAAATGGTTTCTGAACCACAGAAAACAAATAAACATGCCTCTACCTGGGACCTCATTCGTGTTTGCCTGTTGTCTGGCACTAAAAGACGTGCTTTAAAACAATGGTGCAGTGTGTGCCTGGAGACCCTGAATGCGAACGGGGCTACTTGAAGGCTAAAAGAAGAGGATATTGACCGTGTCTAGGACCACTGAGCTTGGACAAGCTCCCAAACGCTGGATGAGAAACCACGTGCTAAACATACTTCCATACAGAAAAATAAAATTCCAAATTCTTAATGGTCAGCTCAGCTTTCACAACTTCCAAAGAAGCATATTTTATTATTACTCAACATATAATGCAAATATACCACATATAGCCGTGGTGGACAACAACTCTCCTAATATCGACAGTTGGCACTCTGGTGACGTTGTTAATACTTCTAAAGAATTTAGCATTTCTTTATTCTTATCATGTCCATTGATGTATCCTGCATCCTTTGCTTGTGAAATTTAAAAAAAAAAACAAAAACATGTTGTTTGGAATTCTGTGGGATCCTGCTGAATTCCTTGGGACCATGGTCAAACATAGCTGAATGGTTTATCCTTTTCCATAATGTTATTCTTGGGCATGAAAAGGAGTATCTTTTCAATAAAGGAAAATTGGCAAGGGGATTTTTTTCTTGCAGTAAAGTCCTGGTTTGGCACAAAATGTGAGGCATTTAGGGATGCAAACATCTCATTTTCAGATCCTTACCTGGCAAAGATATAAGAGGATATATTTCCCTGGCAACACTCAGCAATCTGCAGCACCACGATGGGTCTCGGGTCTTTGGACTGCCCCTCGATCAAGTGGTAGAAATCCAAAGTAAAGCAATGTGATCTGGCAAACGGGGTTCCTGGAGCAGCATGTGTGGTTTCTTCCATTCCTATGGAGATCCTCATTTGGCTCCAAGTCCACTCGAGAGACAAAGTGTTTCCAGATCTTTGGCAGAAAAGGAAATGCCCTCTTTTCAACTTTCACTAATTCAAAGGAATCAAATACTGACAAGAAAATATGAGCACCATCTATGCTTTTGATACAGCAATAATAGCTGTGTAGATTTTAGTGTTTATACAATAATGGTGTTAAGAGTGGCTACTTATAAGGTTACTGTAAGTATATAACATTTTCTTCCCAAGCTATGGGATATAATATGAGATAGTAGATGGAATATGTATATCCGTGCATATATATACACACACACACATATGTGTGTGTATACATGTATATGACATGAAATAGGAGAAAATATGTGTGTATATGCATATGTGCATGTTTGTGCATGTGTGTGTGTATAAAGTGGTATATTTGAGCATGCAGGACTCAGGTATAATCATAAAAAGGTGCTTTATTGTTGTTCACTATCTTCTTCTGTCCTTTTTAGTCAGAAGATATCTTCCTCTGTCCCTGGATGGAAACAGGCGATCCCATGTTTTTTCTAAGCACAATTAGAATATAGAATATCCTGTAATCACTTTAAGTTGTAAAATATAATCTTGATGCAGATATTAGAAATTCCAACTCCATCCATGAATCAATGTGGTAGAAACTATGGTGCTCTCTACCCCACCTTCATCCCATTTTAGTACCAGGTGGGCACACTCATCTCTCAGCTGCTGTGAAGGTTGTCTACGCATGGCTCCCAGAGGGTTCTCTTGGAATTGCCCTTGGCTGACAGATGCCATCTTGCCTGGGAAGTCTTAACCACCCCTGCCCCCACCCCACACATCAACAACTGACTACGAACATACAAGAGTTCAGCCCATGGCTCCAAGGGGAACAGTTCTTCTGTGCAACTTATGTCACAACCCTCTTCCCTAGAGGTGAGGCCAAGGCTAGACTGACTTCTTCTGAAATCTTCTTATCCCTAACCTTACTAACCTTTTCTTAAGTGCATTCCTCAAAAATTTGTTTGTCCCTGAATCCCATTCTCAGGCTCAGCTTCTAGAGATAACCCAACCTAAGACAAAACAAAACAAACAGAAAAAAAAAATCTCTATTTTCATTCCTTACCCTCCATGCAAGGTAGAGGAAGGTGGACATCTTCAGAGAAGGAGGAGTGGTTCATTCATTACACTACCTGCCCACGGATACCCCACTCACTACCAGCTGGTTGCTATTATCAAGTCATTGTCCTGCATTTATTGAAATGAACATGTGACTTTTTTTAAGACTATGAATATATTGGAATCCATTTGGATTTTCTAATTTTGAATCATCCTTATACTTCTGGCGGAAAAAAAACTTAACCACGATGTTTTGTATAATCCGAGTCTATATTTTTAGCACACACTTACATCTCTTTAGTCTCTTCCCCTTTCTTCCCCATGCTGATATTATCTAGAATTTCAGTTCCAGATTGTTAACAGCTTCCCCCTCCACCACACACACATATCTGCCTTTGGCCCTTGAATATTTTTTAGGCACAATAAACTTGAGAACATTTATTTAGTCGTCCTTATTTTCCATATCTTTGGCTGCACCTCCTAGATTTATTTTTCTTCTTATTGGAGTACTTCCTCCAGTAGTATTTACAAAATGGTTATTTGTATAGCAAGCTTGGTATGACTGATAAAATCTCCAGTGGACCCTACTGAAATTGGGCTATGGGAGTCCTCTGGGTGTCAGGCACTCAAAAGTACATTTGTGGGCTAGCCCCCAATCTTTGAGCCTCCACACTGCAACAGTGCACTTTCTAGCTGACCTCTTCTAACCCCAGGTCTTGACCCAAGAAGTGCACCCAAACACTCTTACTGCTGAGACCTTTTTGCCTAGAAGGAAGCTCCTGGAGGAAGCTTCTTGAAGGCAGTTCAAGCCTGGCCCACCTTCACTCAGCCAACAGGAAGCTCATGGACCCTTGGGCGTCCAAAGCATCAGCCCCTCCCCACTGACTGACTTACCTCCTCACTAGGGTCTTATGGGTCTCTCCTGCCAACCTCCCCAACAGGAAGAAGATGTGAAACTCCTGGGAACACATATCAGCTTCTTCCAAATATGATCTCACTGCTATGCCACTCTATAGTTGGGCAGAGACACTGATGTTCTACAGCTCAGGAAGCCTTCAGCTTAGGAATGAAATACACGATCTCCCATCTTTCAAATATCAGGCTGGACAGAGTAAGAAAAATATTTGAAAGTTTAATAGAAAAAACAAAGCAAGCAAATAATATAATTAAGTAATTTGCAGAAGATGAGATCTCAGTGACCAAGAAGCATAAGAAAACATAGGCAAACTCACTAGTGATCAAATTAAAACAAGGAGAAATCATTACATACCAATTGAATTTCAGTTGGTATTGAAAAACAATGTAAAAGCTGATAACACCAATTGCTGGAGAGAACATGGGGAAAGGGAATTTATATATTGCTTGTGAAAGAACAAATTGGTACAATTGCTTTGGAGAGCAATATGCTAGTACCCAGAAAAACTGAAAATGAGCAGAGCACATTAATTATAATTCTAGGTATATCTTACAGGTCTAGAGATATTCTTGTACTTGTGGCTAAGGAGAACTATACAAAGGTGTACTTTACTACACTGTTTTGAAAAAGGGGAAATGAAAAACAATCTAACTATTCATAAATAAGGAATGGATGAACAAACAGGGGTTTATTCACACAGTAGAATATCATACAGCTGTTAAAATGAATGAACTAGATCTACATGGGTAATCTTACTAAAGAGACAGAACCAATCTAAAGTTGCACAATGGTACATAGGATTCCATGTATGTAAAATATTAAAACACAAAATAATACTATATCTGTTCATGAACATATACATAAGAGCAAAAGTATGAAAACCTTCATGAAAATGCTACCAACTAATTCAGGAGATGGTGAGGAGGAATGGGAAAGAAATAGAGGAAGGATAGTATTAGATGCATTCATAATACTTTGTTATAAACTCCCAACAAAAAATGACCTGAAACAAACAAATGGAAGACTAACATTTGTTAAATCTAGGGAGGTGGATATGTATGTGTTATATTTATTCTCTGAATGTTTAAAATATTCAGCAATAGTAGTCTAGAGGGATATGTACCAGCTGACCACTGTGAGGCCAGGCTTGTTTCTGGCCTCTGCTAAAGACAGTTATGTGCTCTGGGACAAGTCCCTTAACATCTTTCAATCTTAGTTCCTCTTTTTGTAAATGGAAGGTGGTAACATTTTCCCCAGCCTGTTTCAGTGTTTGGAAGATGATTATATGAAATAAAATATGTAAAAAGCCACATTGAAAACCATTAAGAGCTAGACAATTTTAAAGAACTATTACTGTTTATATGTTGACATGTAAAATATGGATACCCATACAAAATAATAATGCTAGTTCAGAGAACAGATATCAACATATTGTACATATTTACTATTGGTTTTTATATTGCCATTTTGATTCTGAAAAATTATACTTGTCATCTGATCCTGCTCTGGTACTTGGACAAGGAGAGGCAGAAAATTGGGTCTTATCATTCATCCCAAGCCTATCCCTGGAAACGCTCTAAGGATTTGAAAGCATTAAAGGACAAGGATCTACCAGCAACCCCTGGGAGAAAAACATGCTGCACGTAAACACAGTGGTTTAGGAAATGTCAGTTTAGCAAAGACAACCACTGGCAAAGGGGCACAATGCGTGCTTCCATTTAAAGCTTTAAAATTTTATTTTAAATAATAGCTTTGGGAAAGAATGTAAAGTGAAGAGAGAACAAAAGTAGCTTTTAGCACACGTGCTCTTCTCCGTTGTGCTCTTCTTAATATATGAAATCTCCTCGAAAACATTTGTTAGATAGAAGCAATTAAGGCTGAGGTTCTATCCTCTCTCCACTAATTAATTACAGCAAATGAGCCTGTAATGTGCATCATAACAACTTAATAAGCTGGGCCAAACTATTTTAGATTCTGCCATGCTAGTATTTCATCATTGCTGGGCTATGTAAATTAGGTAAGTAATATGGGAACATGAATAGCTTTTGAATTACCTGTGCCCTTCAAAATAAACTCTGTGTCTTGCGTGGATGTAATATTTACAGGGGAGAGTTGAGAGCAGAGAAGGGCATAGTAGAGGTGAGGACAGGGAAAGGAGGAGGAGACAGGGCAAACATGAACGCTCACACAAACTGTCATATTGCCTTCAATAACGTAACATCCATCCCCTCTGTGGCATGTCACGCTGGCCAACCAGATGCCATTCCAATGGCTCCTTCACATTTTTCCATATTTGTTGGACCTGAACGGTGAAGAATACATAAACACATTAACCTCTCTTTTCTGACATCATTGGTTATATTATCAATTCCTGCCTCAAATGTCTAACTGAACCTGGATCAAAGTGTGACTAATACAAGCTCTTCTTTAGTAATGTCTCTGCCTTTAATGAGACTTTAAAGGCAAGTAGTGACTCATTGAGTCAGTGAATAGACTCTGTGCAACTGGGGATGAGTTAAAATACGGCTTACTGTCAGGGAAACAGCCAAGGGCCCCAGACCAGCTGTGAATTATCTCAGACACAATTATCTGAAACTTTAAAGCCTGGTTTATTTAAAAAATCAAAGGTCAATATGTCTTCCCCGGAATAGCATCTGCTACCACTTCAAGGTGTTAACTGACTAATTTCAACAAATGTCAAACAGATCCTCATCTCCCCCTCCTCCAAGCGCCAATGGTTCACCGGACGAAAGCATAATCAGGCATTCCCAGACAAGAAGGAGAAAAGGAGTCATGGGGGAGCAGATCTGGAACTTAAGGTCTATCTGGTGATCTTTTCTGTGCATCCTTCTTTCCTGTTTATTGTTTTTATCAAGTTTCTCCAGAACATATAGCTAGGGATTTCCACTATAGAATGGAAAAGACAGTGGAGCAATTCTCTTAAATATTCTTGAAACATGAGCTGTTTAGGGGCAGAGGGGGAATACATGAGTCACAAAAGACCAAAGAAATATCATATAATCATAGGGCAGTGGCAAGTAGATAATATTAATCAGCTTCCTTTCTCTCTTCTTGTTGTCACACCCATCATCTCTAGGAAGTGATGGGTGAAAAGGGACACACACACACACACACACACACACACACACACGCACATCTGTTTGGGGCATAAGGGAAACTTCGGTAGTGGCATAAATTATAATTGAATACATTTCTTAAGTCTCTTCCAAATATATTTACCCTCCAATTTGTGATGCTCCTAGGATAAGAAGTAAATATATGTAGACTTTCACTAGTGATTGGTTTTGGTAAATTTTTGGACAGAATCAGACTGACAGTAAAACTGGGCTCTCACTCATATTTCTCACAACATCCCTCCCACTCACCTCTCCTATGCAATATCTATTTTCAGCAAATTCTTGCTTAGATGTCAAAAGTAAGATTTCAGATTGTCCTCTCCCAAGTTCAAATACATTTTAAGAAGGCACTCCAAAACTCCAAGGCCTTTGAAACTCAAAGGAATGCCAGGCACAGAGATGCGATGGTAGATGGTCAAGGCTGAGTGCCCTGTCAGTTCCTCACGCCGACCCACTTACGGCTTAAGGCCAAGCCTGGAGATACTTGAACTAGAATAACTGACCAGTGAAGAGAAATCTTACATCATGTTCACTATTGACTGGTGAAGTAGCAGTGTTAAAGGAATCTAGCTTTAAGAAAACTGTCCCTGAATTCGATATTTTCATAAAGATATTCTCTGTGTAAAAAAATATCTAAGCAAGCAATTTCAAAAAGCTTGGGATCAGTTTAAATCTTATGATGCCCTAAAGTATAAAAAGGTTCAGTCAGCAATATGTGACCAACTGAACCATTTTTTTCCAATAAGGAAGAGCCATACTTTTTATATATCTTCATCACTCCTTGACAGGCCATAAATACACTATGTATTTGCTTAGAATAAAAAAAAAATGAGAGATACGCCAGACAATCTTGCCTATTAATATTTCAGTGACTCCTACTGTTCTATAGATTTTTTTTTTTTTTTTTTTTTTTTTTTTTTTTTTTTTTTTTTTTTTTTTTGCTGTCCACTAGTGTATCCAGTCTGCTCAGGTTAACGATGCTTGTCCCACTCACCTAAACCACGGAGGCCTTCATATGAAGTTCCATTGATTGCATTCCCAGAAGCATGCCTGCAGGCCTTACAATTCCAGTAATCAGAAAAGTCTCTTAAACAATTAGCCATTTATTATCTAATCAATATGTTTTTTTTAATTATCAATGTTATGTCATACTATAGTCACAGTCATTCCTCATTCAGCAAAACAAATTTCCGAGAAGAAAGTTCTCCATAAGGTTTGTTCTTTCTTTTAGCTTAAAGCTGCCTTTTGAGAATGAATAACTGGCATAGAAATGTTCATCTATTCTAAAGATTTATATCAGCTTATCCAAAGTTCAAAAGGCACAGTGGCTTTTTTTTCCTACTGAATCTGTTCAACATTTATACACATTAAATCATTACTGATTCTTAAAAGATCCTCCTACTTTGTTGGGAGAAAGTTGTTCCCTTAACTGATGTTATT